GAAACAAAGACTAGTGAGAGAATACAACTGGAGCTAAGTCTCCCATAAAATGAATTAGGATGTTCCCCAGGAGAGGAGAGAGCCAGACTGAAGGCAATTGTTGGAAGGATAGCTCTTGCTATTGTTCAGGGGTGAATGTTAGAAGAATCTAATTCAGACACGTGCTGGAGAAAGATTTTGTAGTAGCTGGGCACCAGTGGCTCATGTTTGTATTCGTAGCGACTCAAGAGACATCTGAGGGTCATTGTTCAAAGCCAGACCAGTCAGAAAAATCAGAGTGACTCTAATCTCCAATTAACCAGCAGAAAGCCAAAAGTGGAGGCATGTTTTAAAGTGATAGAACTGCCAGTCTCGAATGAAAAATGTATGGGATGTCCATGTCCTGAGTTCAAGATTCAGTACCAACACACACAGAAAATTTTTTTTTGTAGGAATGTAATGAACACTCCCTGAGGATTTTCTGTACTCATGTCATTTGAAACTCAGTCTTGGCCTAGAATCACTGAGCCTTTACGAAGGCTTAGAAAGCCCAAATCAAAAGTTTGAGACCCTGAAAGTGAAACTTCCAGTCCTTAGAAAGTTTCACTAACCAACTACTTTCATTAACTGAGGAAAAAAAATCCAACAAGATAAACTTATGAAAACTAAAATATAAAGAAAACCAAATCTCCTTCAGTTCTAAGAAGCATGGTTATTTTCAGTAATATGCCTCCTACAAGGAAACTTCAGGACTTCCATGATGTCAGTTTCATTTCCAGATGAGACCTTTCACCTTCTCCTTCCTTAAAGAGAGAGCCAAGTCCCCACCCCCACCCCCGCCCAATAGCTCTGGTCTGAAGACACAGAGTCATCAGGCTGCTTTCCATATTACATTGGATTGGTTCTTGTCCCCTCATATTTTGTAATGGAATAAGCAATAAGCAAGTTCATGTCACCGAACACATTCATAGGATATTTGTTAAATCAGTGAGTTGGAAAATGGCTCAAAATAGAGCTGGTAAGCAGAAGTTAAGCACAATGGAGTGGAGAATTCATTCAACATGGGGCCAGACAATGGAATACTTCCTCCTCTGCCAAGTTATAGTTAGGTGGTCCTGAGCAGTCACTTCTTTCTCTTGGCCTCAGTTTCTCTTTCCAGCTCTGACATATCTAGCCAGATCCTCATTATGGTAGGAAAATAAGAAAGCTTACAGGTTTTTTGGGTGATGTGTGATGTGATGTGTATGTGAGCATGCATGTGCGTGTGACAGTACTAGGGTGCTGTTTCTTAGCTTTTTTACTCAAGGCTGGCACTCTACTGCTTTAGCCACAATTCTACTTCTGGCTTTTGGTGGTTAATTGGAGATAAGAATCTTATGGACTTAGCCTTCCTGGGCTGGCTTTGATCTGTGATGCTCATAATTCAGCCTCCAGAGTAGCTAAAATGACATGTATGAGCCACCAGTGCCCAGCTTATGTATAGTTGGTTATTAAAAGGAGTTACTCAAAGAAATCTTCCTATGTGCATAGCAAGCTGAGGATAAAGATTTGTTACTTTATTTGTTTTAATTTCTCCCTAGGGTCTTTCCACCTTGATACTATCAGCATTTGGGGTTGAATAGTTCTTTGTTAGGAGAGGCTGCTCCGTTCTCTGCAGGATGTTTTGCTACATCTCTGACTCCACTTCGTACTGGTGACATCCACTCCCTTCTCCCCATCTGTGGTACCTTAGTAGGTCTCTAGACATTGCCAAATGTTCCCTGAAAACAAAATTGCCTCTAGTTGAGAAGTGCAGGTCTTTGTTCACATTCCCAACACAAACTATATAGAATAACATAGCTAAGGGCAGATAGGAGAGGAAACTAGGCAGAGAAGCTCTCTCTACTCCTAACAGCCTTGGAATGGGGGTGTGACTGGAAACTAAGGAGAGCTAGAAGTGCATTGGGTTTGGAGGCAGAAAACCCCATCTGAGTCTCTATACTATCATTGATTGGCTGTGTGACCTTCATCATCCAGCTTTGGCTGAGCTTTAAGGTCTTCATGAATCTAAAACATGTAATACCTTTCCTTCATAACTGTATTCCTACAATCCTTACTCATGTTAATACACACATCAAATCAGGGTTGTTAGAAGACTAAGAGTTATGCATGTGAAAGACACCCTAAACTAAAAGGCACAGAATATATGCATGTTATCCCTCTATTTGCTTTTATTATTATAATTATAATTATTATATCTGGTGGCAAGATTTGGACTCAAGGCCTACATGTTCACTCACTTAGTGGGCACTCTAACACTTGAGCCACGCTTTTTGCTAATTATTTTGGAGATGAAATCTCATAGACTTGTTCTGCTGGCTTTGAGCCATGATTCTCCAGCTTTCAGCCTTCTGAGTAGTTAGGATTACAGGCCTGAGCCATGTTATTACTCTAAATTTTCTTTTTTTCTTTTTCCTGGGAAAGCAAAGGAAAAGAACATTCATTTCTGGATGGATTTTTCTGTACAGAGTGGAATGGTGATATCACAGGGGCCACTAGAGCAGTGAGGAAAGCCAACAATGAATACTCAGGGAATATAGTCAGCATGCCAGTTTCAAGACTTGACTCTGATGGGCTCTGAGTTAATCTGCATTTCTCTCACACACATGAGCTCCTAGTCAAAGAAAGTGTCACAGGATTAGGCAAAGGCAAGAATTTGGCTATCATACCTGAAAATAATTCAACCGCTTCCACTACCTCTTTCTCCAACTAGTCTATAACCCTGGATGTCTAGTGGTCATGTCTTCAACAACTGACACTTTCATAACTAAAAGAGGCTGGCAGTTTCCTCAGTGTCAGTGTTACATGCTCTGTTCGACAATAACATCTACAGTGAGTGCCCTCCCCATGTCTGGGGCCAAGTTCAATCAATGTAGGTCCATACTGTCCAGTTCTGGGAACTAATATTGCAGCAAATAGGTAAGGCAGCAGGCTGGTGACTGTCCAGAGATCTTCACTAGCAGGTCACTCAGAATCAAACTTCAACTTTCTTTTCTTTCAGTGTTTTCTTTTTCGAGACAGGGTCTTAATGTGTTAGCCTAGGCTAAAATCTTCCTGCCACCACTCTTGGAGTACTGGAATTATAAACCTATATTGCCACATCTGGCTAGACTAGAGTTCTCTATTAAAAAGCAGATCTTTCTAGGATTGCAGGTCAGGTTTCAGTTGGAAGGAATAATATAATTCATACTTGTACATGGTTTGGTTTATGGACTATTTGTCCATCCTTTGAGTGTAAAGGGCACTTACTCCTGGTGGGGCTGGAAGAGATGAGGAGAAGGATGAAAAGGTACATGGACCAACCAAGATGCATTGTCCGCATAAGCTGACGGGTTCAATTGAAACCCCTTTGTACAACTACTTAACGATAATAAGAAAATGTATAGATCAGAGAGATGCTTTTATGACATAGTCTTGAGCCCTATATAAAGTTCATTGTAGATACCCTGTTCTACCTGTCTGACTTTATGTAGCTGAGATTCTACAGTATTATGCAGCATTTAATACTGCACTCTACAAAATTCAATAGGTACAGAAGGGCAGGATGTGAAAAGTCAGTCTCCCTTCCATTCCATAGCTTTCTTCCAATCCTTCTGGAGAAGTCCTATGTCTGCCATCATACGTTTTTGGTATGAACTAATAGCTCAAGGTTCTTATGAACTACATAGAATTACCTATAAGGAGGAAATAGGTCCCTAGTGCAATATATCTGTGCCAATAAAAGATACAATCATACTAGCCAAGGGGCTGGTGGCTCATACCTGTAATTCTAGCTACTCAGGAGACTAAGAACTGAGAACGGAGGTTTAAAGCTAGCCTGGACAGTAAAGTCCATGAAACGCTTATCTCCAGATAACAATCAAAAAAACTAAAAGTAGAGCAGTGGCTCAAGTGGTAAAGTGCCAGCCTTGAGCAAGCAAACTAAGGGACTGTGAGCCCAGGTCCTGAGTTCAAGATCATTATGGGCATTTGTGCGCACACACACACAGAGACAGTCAGACAGACAGACAGACAGACAGACAGACAGACACACACACACACACACATACACACACATTATTATACTGCCTTATCTGTCACTTAATAGTTAAAATTATCTTGTCTTTCTAAAGAATGTTCCCAACTGACAGTAATAGTTGGAGATACCCAACCACAGTGCCTTAATAGGCTATTGTCCCAAAAATTTCTCTAAAAGGTTCTCAGTACCCAAGGGGATTCACAAAATTCTGAAGCATAAAGAGATCAGATTCTGTGGGTCTCAGGGTTGTAGTCATGAAAGACGTGTACCCGGAGCCCAGGCCCCTAAAAGACAAATCTCCCCTGCTCCTACGATCAGCCCTAGCAACGACCTTTCCCTCTAAATCTGCCCTAGGAATGTGTGGGAAGGGTGCTGGTAGGAATTGCAGCCCAATGGTGCCAGTTTAAAGAAAGTCATTTCTCATCTAACTTTGCTTAGAGGGCCATTCTGTACTCAATCACATGGGGTCCTCTTCAAAAGCATCTCCCGACCAAGTAGGAGAGCAGGACCTCGGATGTTTCTGTTTTTCTTTTTTTGGGTCCGGTTGTGGGGCCTGAACTCTGTTCCTGGGTGCTGTCCTTCAGCTCTTCAGCTCAAGGCTAGCGCTCTACCACTTGAGTCACAGCGCCACTTCCGGGTTTTTCTTTTTTGCTTATGTGGTGCTGAGGAATCGAACCCAGGGCCTCATGCATGCAAGGCAAGCGCTCTACCACTGAGCCACCTTCCCAGCCCCTCGGATGTTTCTTGAATGGTGGTGCTATGTGTGCTGTATACACACATGATTTACACCGCCACAAACCCTCTTGCTTGGGTACTGACCACCCACCACCTCACTGCGGGGTGGGAGGGGGTTCCTCCTCGACAGGCTGTTTGAAGAGTTTTTCAGGAACTGCTACAGTTTGGAAGTTTATTTGTCAGTGAAGGGAGCTTCCCCCTCTGCTCTCCCTCTTTCTCCTCCCAGTACCCATCTGATAAAGTTACAGAAGGCATCTCAGATTCACAACAAGCCTCACCAGCCCCCCACTGAATAACACATCGTCTGGCAACAGGAGGCGTTTGATTACATTTGGAAGGAATGCCTGCATCAACTCCAGTTGTCCCTGGATTGCAACTGATGGGCCTCACGTGCTGCAGCCAACAGTTTGCCTTCACCCACTTCCCTCTAGGCAATGAACCTTTCTCTGGGAAAACAAGAAACCTACGTGCCATCCTGAGTGAGAGACAAACAGGGGCTGTATCCCAGCATCGCATCCCAGGCGTGGTAAGCAAGAATACACACTGTGGGATTTGCAACAGTAAATCATGCTTCTATCATAGCCAGAGAGAACCTCTTTCAACCACTAACACAACCATATTCAATTTCTCCTGTAAATGTCAACTTGTGTCATACATCCACCATGTTGCTGTCTTCTTTAGCAAACTTTTTCTTCTTTTTGTCAGTCATGAGGCTTGAACTCTGGGCCTGGGCACTGTCCCCCAGTTCTTCAGCTCTAGGCAAGTGCTCTACCACTTGAGCCACAGCACCACTTCCTGTTTTCTGAGTGGTTTGTTAAAGAGTCTCATGGACTTTCTTGCCTGAGATAGCTTTGAACCATGATCATCAGATCTCAGCCTCCTGAGTAGCTAGGATTACAGGTGTGAACCACCAGTGCCCAGTTTAGCAAACTTTTTTTTCCTTTTCTTTTCTTTTTTTTCCCCCTTCTTTTCTTTTTTTTCTTGGTGCTAGTACTTGTAAGGTCCATTCCTGCATGGCGAACAGACCTCGCCCAGTACCTGCGTTACCTAGGCAACTGGGACACCTGGAAAAGGTCACATCTGCATCCGCTGAGGTCACATCTTAATCTGATGTGGCCACACCTTTCCCCCACCTTGTCCCACCTCCTCTTTCCTGGTCCCACTTCCCTTTACCTGAATACACCTTTCCCCACCCCTACCCTATGTAAGGCCTAACCCAGGGCCAGACGCTCTCTTTTGGAGTGCCAACTTTGCCCGGTCCCAGCAGATCTACTGAATAAACTTATCCCTTACCTGAATACCACGTGCATACTGCACTGTTCTTACTCGGCTACCTCTTTTTAAAAACCTAACAGTACTAAGACTTAAACTCAGGACCTGGGTGCTGTCCTTTAGCTTTTTTTGCTCAACATTGGTGCTCTACCAATTTAGCCATGGTTCCATTTCCAGCTTCCTCCCCTCCCCTTTGGGCAGTTAATTGGAGATAAGAGCTTCACAGACTTTCCTACCTAGTCTGGCTTTGAGCCACAAATCTCAGATCTCAGTCTCTGGCGTAGCAAGGATTATAGGTGTGAACCACTGGCACCCACTTCCTTTAGCAAATGTTTGTAACCTCCCTCCTTCCATTCCTGCTTATTTACTCAGTCATTTTTCTGTAGGAAGAACTGTGCTTCTTTAAAGACACCCATGTTCCATTCTCAAGTGCTGAGAACATGACATTTTACATGGCAAGGGAAAATAAAAGTTGCAGATGGACTTAAGTTCATTCCAGCTGATTTGAAATAGGGAAATCTGTGGCTCCCATGAATTACTAAGGTTCATAAATAGGGATGACCTGAATCACCCTGTGGCATATTGAGAAAGATTCTGCCTGACATTGCAGGCATTGAAGATGGGGAAGGAGGCCATGAGCCATGTATGTAATTCATGTAGATTTTTCAGGCCAGACTGAAATGGATTTTTCCTTACAGTTTCCTGGATCTTAGCCTGACGAGACCACTTTCAGATTTTGGATCTCCACATCTATAAGACAATATGTTGTGTTGGGTGCCAGTGGCTCATGCTTGTAATATTAACTACTCAGGAGGCTGGGATCTGGGGTTGAGGTTCAAAGAGAGCCCTGGCAGAAAAGCCCATGAGACTATTGTCTCCAACTAACCAGCTAGAAGTAGAGGTGTAGCTCAAGCGGTAGATTTCTAGCCTTGAGTGGAAGAGCCAAATGAAAGCATGAGACCTTAGTTCAAGGCCAGTACTGGTACACACAAAAAAGAATTAATGAATTTTTGTTGTCACAGCAGCAACAAGGAACCAATGCTGCCTCTGTGGGTCTTCTATGTGCCAGTCCTGATGCCTGATGTCAAGGGGCATTCCTGAAGCAAATGTTTTGCATGTACCCTCAGGTCCAATTAGGGAAATTAATGCTGCTTCAAGTGTTTAAGCAGAGATTATTGAATACAAGTCATTAGTTACGTGGGTGATAGAAAATTAGAGAAACTAACCCAGATATTGGCAAGAGCAGAGATTGCTGTTCTGGTGCTACTAGGCTAGACCAGGGGGACACAGGATGAAGGTTGTGTTATTGGAGCCCAGAGGCCAATGGACCATGGTGGGTCTGTTCAGCAGGAGCTGGAACCATGGAGGGCCCATAACCCCACTAGAGAAGCCTGTTGAGGTAGAAAGGGAAAGAGAGATACATCCAGTTGTCTTCCTCCCTCCTGTTTGCCAGCATCCTTCCAACACTTCCCATTGGCTGCCTAGCTGGAAGTTAGCGATGAGAGTATGGATCTCCTGTACCTGGCATGGTCTCCTGGATGCTTGTTTCTGCCTTATTTGATTGATGACTTGCCTTCATCTGGGTCTCAGCTTGTCTCACATGATCAGATTGTTTCTTTTTCCATCTAAATAGGTGCTCCTCACCTCAGTCTCCACAATTTCCTTATTTTACTTTTTTCATATTTTCTGAGGTGATCTTGGTTCTGTGTTTACTTGTTCAGTATAACCTTTCCTGGTCTGGGAGCTTTTTGAAGCAGGGATTCTGTCTGCGTTCTTGATATATCTTTTTGTTAGCATAGACAGGTGTTTACCAAAATCTGTTTCTTCCTGGGAACAAAGCAGGTCTCATTTCCTTTACAGGTAGGTGTGACAGAGTTCTAGCTGATAGAACTTAAGTGAAAATACAAGGCCCAGCTTCCAGGCATGGCTGTGAAAACCTCCCATGCCCACTCCTGCAAGTTTTCCTCTCCTGTCAGGTACTAACAGGGCCCTAGGGAATGGTGGAGGCACAAGATGAAAGAACTTTGGGCCCTCAAATGACTAAGTGCAAGAGAGTTGCCCCAGCAACCTACATTCCATCCAGAACTGTTAGATGAATAAGAAATAAGTTCTACATTGACTCATTATATTATCCTGACTAACTAAAACAATCCCCAGTGCCAAGAATAGTATCAGGTTCATAATTGGCCTTCAATGAATAGTAAATGAATGATTGAATATTAGCCACACAGCAATAAGGTGTTCAGTGATAGAATATCTTTTTTCCCACCCTCTATGCTCATCAATGAGAGCATAGAGGGAAGGGTTATTTTAACCACTATATACCAAATGCACTTCCATTGTCCCTGAAGTTCAGTAGTTGTTGGATGGAGTTTCTAGGCTGTACAAAGGAAGCAAAGGCTGGCAAAGCAGGATCTGAAATCATGTGTCTTTGTTTTTGTTGTTTGTGTGTATATGCCTCTGTGTGTGTGTTTATGTGTGTTTGTGTTTGTGTGTGTGTGTGTGTTGCCAATACTGGGGCTTGAACTTTGGGCCGTACATTCTTGCTTGTCTCTGCTCAAGGCTGGTATTCTACCATTTGAACCACCCTCCCCACTTCCAGCTTCTTTGCTGGTTAACTGGAGATAGGAGTCTCCTAGATTTGTCTGCTTAGGCTGGCTTCAAACTCTGATCCTTAGTACTCAGCTTCCTGAATAGCTAGGATTATAGCCATAAGCCACTAGCACTGAGTTGTAAATTGTTCTTAATAATGTGTTCTATATTGTTGTCACTATCAATGTTTGCACAGCTTTGTAGAGTTTACAAAGGGCTCTTCACTCGATCCTTCTTTACAACAACTCTGAGAGGTAATTACTATTATGATTCCCATTTTACAGATAATGAGTCTGAATATCTTGCACAATAGCTAGCTTTTTTTTTTTTTTTAAGTGATCAAGATGGGATTCATTCCCTGTTCAATAAGCCTTTTTGAGTGCTTGTAATTGACTAGACCCGCTGGCTGCTGAGGCCAGCGAGGATTGCCTGTGTTCTCAGCTGAGGTGTGTTAGTCAGGCAACTGCTGCTGTGGCTGTGTGGCTTACTGCATGTTTCTGGGTGGTCTTCCAGACCACTCTGAAGTCAGCAACATCAGAGTGAGCCTTTCCTGAACTCTCCCACTTGCCCAGGCTAACAGCCTCGGTGTTCTGAGCCTGCCCTTTTCCATACATTCTTTTCTCCTTCCCATGCCAAGATTTCAGCCAATGAATTAGAGTGGGTTCCAGGCCATTTAGCTCAGTCAGAGATTTGGGTGAAAGTTTCCTCCCACTCACCCCAGGCCTCAGATAACCCTTTGGGGTGTGATCAGCCCATGTGAAGGAGAAGCGGGTGGAGGAAAGCTAAAATCATGGAGATTTTTCAGGCACAAGACTGGAACAAAAGTTTCTGCAGCTGCCACGTTTACTCACATTGGTCTGACTGGATAAAGTATGTCGGTGACAGGTTGGTTGGAAAATTTAGGAGAGAAAGCCAACAGGGACATAACTTGTTTCAACAGAGAAGCCTAAAGCCCCTGGAGAGTGGCTGGCAGGCTGAGTTATTTGTCAGGGCAAATAAGGCCAGCCCTGGTGTCTGAAGGTGCCCCTGGATGAAGAGAAAGGGCAATATGAGATGGCCAGATCTGTACAGGGTCTTAGCCTTTCCCACCCTAGAGACTCACCTCTCTGTGCCTGGCAGTTTTTCTCTGTAAATAAATCCTGGCGGCTCCCCCAGTGCAGGGTGCCCCATGAACAGTGCATCTGAGGTGGGGTGAAAGACAAATATGCCTTTTCATAATAGCTTTACACCTGGAGCAGTGGAGGACGGGTTTATTACCTTGGTAAACAAAAGTGAGAATTCAAGCAAAGTACAAACTTTGCCCAAGGCACTTCTGACAGTGCACCTTGTGTTTTTGAAGTGAACTCAGTTATGCTCAAGATGTGAAGCAACGGGAGGCTGGGCCTGCTTCTTTCTTTTCTTCTTTCTTTTTCTTTTTTTTTTTTTTCTCTCTCTCTTGTCTGCTTTCCAGGGTTTGGAAGTTCTTTGCATGTGTGTGTGTGTGTGTGTGTGTGTGTGTGTGTGTGAGAGAGAGAGAGAGAGAGAGAGAGAGGAGGGAGAGGGAGGGAAAATGAGAAAGAGAGACACAGATACAAAGAGACAGAGAGAGAAAAAAGAGACAAAGAGAAAGAGGGGAAGAAGGGAGGGGGGGGAAGGGAATTTACTTTGGCTCTGGCTTTT